AAAGGTGGGTCCTATTCATTTTCTACCATCGTATGGCAAATGATCACCTCCAGTGAGAGGCAAAAGACAGCACGCATGTATGCTATCACCTCACCAACATGGGGCCCAGGCCCAGACGAACGGTCTCACAGATGACAGCTAAGGTGGTGATCAGCTACATTCCCATCTAGAAGCTTGATTGATTAGAGCACTTGTAGCTCACTGGGGGTGTGAGCAGAATTTGTTCCCTTGTAGATGTGTGGCTGGGCTTCCTATTTTCTGACTGGCTGGTGGCTGGGAACTGCTCTCAACTCCTAGAAGCCATCCTCAGTTACACGAGTTCCTCCACAGTCTCTTCCTTCAAGAAGGGCCCAGAGCTCTCTAAAGGGTTTTTCACCTGATTAATGCAGGCCTCCCTAACATCATCTCTCTTTAGATTAATTCAACATCAACTGATTTGGGGCCTTAATTTTATCTGCCAACTCTCTTTACCTTGGTCATATGACATGACCTGATCGGCGCATTATAAACATCATACTTTTGGGTCTCATCCACATTCAAGAAGGTATTATACAGGTGAAATGCATCATAAGGACTCAAAATATTGGAACCACCTTGCCATTTTGCCTGCCACACCGATGTGCAAAGGTATGTTATAACATTAGTTATAATTTTGGCCTTCAAGAAACTCACAGCCGATTGGGCTAACAAGTAGGTGAATGAGGGTGAATATGCTTGAAGTGTAGAATTGCATATATGAAAATAGAACAGTGAAATCTGTTGAAATTTTTTAAAGGGAGAGAGTAGTAGAGGGGGTGAGATCAATTGAAATACATTGTACACATGATTGGAAATGTCCCCCTGTGTGACTGTGTGCTAATAAAAAAATAGAAACTCATGACCTAACAAAGGCAGTGGATATGCAACAAGTTACTAAGCCATTAGAATAGAGATGCATTTGATATTCAGAAATAGCATAAAAGTGCAGCATAAACACTGCACTCCATAAGAATGGGAGTTTACCAGGCAAATAAATATAGGAAAGAAATGGTGAGTTAAATAGAATTGCCTTGAAATAGTATGATGAATTTAACAAATTAGTCATAATTTGATTTTACTAAGATGTCAGCAAGTATGCTTACTATTTCTATTTGCTTTTTCTCTTTTAAAAACAAAGAAAAGAAATTTACTTCTGTAAAGCCTGGTTGATAGACCAGGATATGTGTGTGTGTGTGTGTGTGTGTGTGTGTAACTGTGTTGCAAATGACTCAACCATTTATAACAAAACACTGGATATGTGTGTGTGTGTGTGTGTGTGTGTGTGTGTGTGTGTAACTGTGTTGCAAATGACTCAACCATTTATAACAAAACACTGGATGTGTGTGTGTGTGTGTGTGTGTAACTGTGTTGCAAATGACGCAACCATTTATAACAAAACACTGGATATGTGTGTGTGTGTGTGTGTGTGTGTGTGTGTGTGTGTAACTGTGTTGCAAATGACTCAACCATTTATAACAAAACACTGGATATGTGTGTGTGTGTGTGTGTGTGTGTGTAACTGTGTTGCAAATGACTCAACCATTTATAACAAAACACTGGAGAAAGGGAAGCATAGTAAATTAACACTCTATCCCTGAGACTAAATGTGCTCATGGCTGCCCCTGGGATGTGTAGACCTTTTCTAATGAGAAATTTCCCTTGAAGGACATCTCATTTTGGAGGACAGAAATGTGCCCGGGGGGGAGCAGCAGAAAAGGCCAAGGTAGTTCTTGAATCCCTGAGCATGAAGAGAAACAATTGAAGTTGGAGAAGGAGCCAGGCAGCACACAGTGCCTGGGGGCACACGTGTCCCACTGTACTGTACCCTGCATTGTAGTGCTAGTATGATTTAAAACAGGATTCACTCTTGAAGTCTGAAGTCCTCTAACTCTTCTCCCACGATCTATAAACACAGACTAGGGGGAAAAAATCCCTAAGAAATACAGTATCGTGGGCGGGGGGAGGCTGGGAAGGGATGTGAAGGGTAAACAAAGGAGGAGGCTGCAATGCTTGATAAGAAATGTACTCATTATCTTGCCCATGTAATTGTAACCCCTCTGTACAGTATGTCCATAAAAAATTAAAATTAAAATAAAAAAAAAGTAATACAGTATCCTTATGTCAACTCCAAATACCTTTGAGCCACCAGGACGATGACAACACTACAAACAAAAATGCAAACATCTTAACAGACAAGACAGTTTGGGCTTGAGTGTTTCAGTTCCATTGCCAACAGTCTGACATGAGATCTTTGATTTCTCAAACCTGCTCTAGTCAAGTCGGCCTCCCAGGCCTCCAAGACAAGCCACATGGCAGAGGATAGTACTTTACATGCAGCATTAGGAGACCTGGATTCCAAGAATGGCTCAGTTCAATTTATTCCTTCATTTCCCTAGGACTGTTGGAGAACAAAGTGACTTTTGCACATGTTGGATACATGGGCTTCCCAGACAAGAGAAAATGTTTGCTAGCCACAAGATTTTCGGGCTTTTATTATTTAAATATGGAGACTTCTTCTGTGATATGGAATATATTGAGAGCATGGGTCTTGGAGCAAAGCTTTCTGGGTTTGAATCCCAGGCTTACCACATCCTTGCTGTGTGATGATGGGCAAAAGACTGGACTTCTCTGTGCCTCTCGGGATAATGATAGTTCTGATTCCATAACATCATGATGAAGGTCAAATAGATGAATTAAAGTCAAATGCTACATGATCTCACTTGTATATGAAACCCAAAAATGTTGACCTCACCTCACAGAAGTAAAAAATAGTACTTATCAGGGGTCAGGGAGGGGTCAGGAGTAGGGGGAGAGACGGGGAAAATTTCATCAATAGTAGCATTATAGATGGACAGAGTTCTGGTGTGCTATAACATAGAAGGGTGACTACAAATAACAACAATGCACTATAGATTCAGAATATTTTCAAAATATGAAGTGATAATTTGAGAGGATAGAGTTTGACCCTGGTTTAAATATTACATGATGCAGCCAAGCACTAGTGGCTCACACATACTAGCTACTCAGAAGGCTGAGATTTGAGGATCAAGGTTTGAAACAAGCCCAGGGAGCAAAGCCCTTAAGAATTTATCTCTAAATAACCAGCAAAAAATGCCAGACTGGAGACATGGCTCAAGTTGTGGAGTGCCAGTTGTGAGCAGGAATAAAAGAAAAACTTCAGTGAGAGTTCAGGGCTCTGAGTTCAAGTCTTAGTACTAGTACAAAAATGAAGCAAACTATTTACACGATGCATGCATCAAAACATCATAATGTGTATAAATTTATGCAACAAGTTCAGAATAACAAAATTTTTTTTAAATGAGCTAAGGTCCATTCTGATCCAAAAAAAAAATGGCTGCTGGAATACCAGATATTAGAGCTATATTTCAGATAGTAAGATCCTCCTTCCTTCAAGGAAAATTCTAAGGGAGTTCACACAGTTGAGGACAACCCAATCACCTGACCACACATAACTTCATAGAAGGCTGGCAAAGAGCACTGCACAGGGTTTTGTGCCCAGATCAAAACCAGGCATTCCATTGCCATGAAAAGAGACAGAACACACCTTGGATGACGAGAAGTCTCCACCATGCTAACTTGCCTCCTGGTTTCTATTTTGACTTCCTGAGTGGACTTATTCACTTGGAATAAAATGATACCCATCACTGCTTCTCCCCAAATATTTTAATTCTGAAGTTGCTGTGAAACCATAACATATGATAAGCATCTACTATGATCCATATAATGAAATACTATCCAGCAGTAAGAAGGAATAAAAGTATTTATGTATAAAAGGATAGTGACAAATCTCAAGATGGTTATGCTGAGTGAAAAAGCCCAGGCCAGAAAAATGTACTATATGTTATATGACTCTATTTATTTATTTATTTACTTACTTACTTATTGCTGGTCCTGGGGCTTGGACGCAGGGCCTGGGCACTGTCCTTAAACCTCTCTGTGCTCAAAGCAAGCGCTCTATTACTTGAGCCACAGCGCCATTTCCGGCTTTTTCTGTTTATATGGTACTGAGGAATTGAACGCAGCTTCATGCATGCTAGGCAAGCACTCTACCACTAAGCCACATTCCCAGCCCCTCAACCCATATTCTTACAAATGCTGCAACCTACCCAGTCACTGTCCCTAGCAATCACTAATTTTGTTCATTTAACTTTGACATTTGTTATACAAATGTGATCACACATATATAACCCTTTGAGACTTTTTTTAATTCACCAAAATACCCACAAGGTCCCTCTAAACTGTATTTATTAAGAGTCTGCTCCTTTTTGTTACAGAGCAGTTGTCCATGAGAATTCTGATTTGTTTAGCCATCTAACCATTACAAAACATCTGTTTCTTTTTGCCAGTTTAGGACTTTTACAAATAAAGATTCAATGAAGCTGTACAGGTTTTAGTGCCAAAACAGGTTTCTATTTGTCTGGTATGATGTCCAGAGTACAACTACTGGGTTGTAGAGTAACTGTGTTTAACTTCATAAAGAAATTTCCAAACTCCTCTCCAGAGTAGATATACTATTTTACATTCCTATCATCAGTCGATGAGAAACCATTTTGAACCCTCAATAACACTTGGTATTTTCGTTATTTGCCCATTAGCCATTCTGATAAATGTGTTAAGCCATATCTCTTTGTGGTTTTAATGATTCCCACATGACCTTTTTCTAAATTTTTACAGTTTTACATCTTGCACTTAAATCCATGGTAAATTCTGAGGTAACTTTTATAGAGATGTAAAGTTTAGGTTAAAGATTTGGGGCTTTTGTTTTTATTTGACCCGTGAATACCCATTGCTTCAGCCTCTTGGGTGTTCATCTTTCTCCTTCCAGGGCCACGTTACTGCCAATACAATACAATTCCGATGGCTTCTGGCTTTTGTAGGAAGTCTTTGAAAATGAGTCCTCCACAGTTTCTTCATCAGACCGCGATAGTTTTTAAGTAATTTCATACTGGGTATCGCCTTTTTCACTTTAGAGAAGAAAGTTTTTCCATAAGCTCTTTCTTCTCTTGGGTCAACTCCTGCAGAAACTCTTGGTTTTGCTCGACTCTGTTCTCCAGCCACTGGAGGAGGGGATCGCTGATCGCGGACACTTGACCGCACACATGATCCACGTACGCCGAGGCATTGCGGATCCTGGATACCGGGTCCTGATCGGGACGGCCGCACATCCTCCTATACGAGGCCAGTTCTTCCTGCCACAGGATCTTGGGCAGCTCCACTAGCGACTGGAGGCACGCTTTCCCGATGCTGGCACGAGGTAGCACGTGGAGGGGGACATCGACCCTCTCATACTCGGCGCTCCTCGGGGCGCGGGCGGATTGGAAGCAGGTGTAAGCTATCTGGCCGGTGTTCGTGTTCTTATCCTCCACGAAGCAGGAGAAGATGATCCCGACGAAGCCTGGGTCCATCATCTGGTAGGCGGCCTGGGTGCGGATGTCCACGTGGGACGGCCAGACGGTGATGTGCGGGTGGGAGTGGTACCAGCCCACCACCCGCAGGGGGCTCCCGGTGAGCGCCGCCAGCCTCTCCGTCTCGGCCGAGGCCGCCGACAGCTGCTCCGGGGAGATCTCCACCCGGTCCTTCCTCTTGTCCGACCGCGGCAAGATGATGACGGAGCGAATATGGACGATCCGGGCCGCCCGGGCCTGCGCAGCCACGGTGCCCAGAGCCTCGCCGGAACTCCCACAACCGGAGTTACTCCCCTCTTCCTCCTTCAGCACCCCAATACACAGGCCCATTACCTCCTCTTTATCGGTGCTCAGAGCGTGGTTGACGCACACGAGGAAAACGTCGGAATCGAGGTGAACCGCCTGAACCGCCATCTTGCCCCACAATGCTCCGGTGCAAGGCTCCGCCCCCCGCGGCGCCCTCCGCGCCTGCGCAGCCCTCCGCGCCTGCGCAGCAGCGCCGCACGCGGACTCTTACTAACACACAGCTGACCAATCTGAAGTCCATATGACTTTATGTAAAATTCTAGAAAATGCACAGATTTATCATGACAGACAACAGAACAGTGGCTGTCTGAGAACGATGGGTGCGAGAGGGAGAAGCTGGCAAAGACACAAGAAATTCGGGGTGATGGGTACGCGCACCATCTCGACTGCTAATGGTTTTCTGGGGACGTACACATATCCCCGAATGTGCCAGGTGCATGTAGCTCCCGCCTGTAATCCAGGCTACTTAGGAGGCTGAGATCTGAGGATTGAGCTTTGAAGCCAGCCTGGGCAGGAACGTCTGCGAGACTCTTACTCCAATTAACTACCACAAAGCCAAACTGGAGCTGTGGCTCAAGTAGTGAAGCACTAACCTGAAAAAGAAGAAAGCTCAGGACCAGCTCCCAGGCCCTGAATTCAAGTCCTAGTTCTGGTACCAAAAAAGGAGGAGGAGGGGGAGGAGGAGGGGGAGGAGGAAGGGGAGGAGGAGGGGGAGGAGGAGTCGTCGTCATCAAGTGAAAACTTTTTGTGTGTGTAACTGATTCTGCATCATCTATACTGAAATAGAACTATAAAAATTAAGAATCAGTCATATGCCTGGTACTGTTGTTAGCCACTGGACATACAAAATGAGTCATGGCTCCTGTCTTCAGAAAGTCATTCTGGTGAATAAATTCGGCCCATGACTGTAAATGGGGTAAATAGAACCCCCAAGGTCTGAACAACCCTGAATAACTTGACTAAATGAAGCAATACAGCCTGCCCACTGAGGGCCAGGCCAGTCTCTGGAGTCCAACCAATCATGAAAGCTCAATTGAATTAACCAATCAGGCAGAGCCATTTTACAAGAAGGCACCATGTCCAGGTATACACTACTGTTTACATCAGGTTTCTACATTAAAGCCACGGCTACCCCCTGGGGACTAGTCTATTCACATTTTAAGCATCTCATAGTAAATTGTGTATTTTCCACCTTAAGAGATGAAACCCAATGGCATATTGTCTTCACTTTTCACATCTGTGTTGCAGATCTGGGAAGGATCACAGGACAGAGACACAGCAGAGTGGAGAGAGAGCTCTTTGCAGTGTGCCGTTTCCACTGTGTCTTGGCATTTTGAGCGCTGCCCTTTGCATGTACAATGGAACAGAAGCATGATGCTAAACTCTAGAGGCTGCAGAAGATGGCTCGAGGGCAAATACAGAGAAAATACTCCACCTTCTCCTCAATTCTGCCCTCCCAGTTCCTAGGGCTTAGGAAGGTTCATAGGATCTGTCATTGTAACACAAAGCTGTGTTCTAAGCTTCCTTTGCCACTATGGACCAAAAACTCAGAACACTTTCTCAAACATTCAAAGTCATTGCCGTAGAAGAGGTTGCTTTTCATTTCTTCCATGTCCTCTCCTGACACATTTCCTTGCTGGAATGCGGAGCCTGGAATTCATTGCATAAGGAATGTCTACAGGGTCAAACTAAGTGTTCTCCATAACTCAACACACACACCCTTTAGCCTGATCCAGTGTCTGATAGCTCAGCATTATTGACCTTTTCCATTAACATGTTGGCGCTGAGTTGTCCTCATTGCCTGGAAAGCCTCGCAAGAACTGGACAGGTATTGGGGCTGCTCTATGGGACCACTGTTGGCATGGGGCAAGGGAAAGGTGAGAAAGATGAGGTTGTCACAAGAAACTTTGGTGACACCAAGGTTTCTTAAGAGCTAGAACTTTGTATTGTTTATTTTTTGGCAGTACTTGGATTTGAACTCAGGGCCTTATACTTACCAGGCAGGAGCTCTACTACTTGAGCCACACCTCTAGCATTTTTTGGCATATACTAATTGCACAAAGAATCATCATTGTGTTATTTCCATATATGCATATAATATACTCTAGTTAACTTTACCCTTTAATTTACTCTTTTGTTTTCCCACTCTTCTTCTTAGACATTTTGGACAGGTATCATAATTCTATATCACATATGTGCATGAAGTACTTTGGTCATATACAACTCCATTTCACTCTTTTCACACTCCTCCCACACACTTGTGCCCACACCAAAATAGTCTCTCCTTCCCATAATGAACGGCAGTTATATCAGTCATTCTTTCTTTCTTTTACATCTAGGTCTGGATGTGGGAGAGAACATGCAATATTTCTCTTTCTCTGTCTGGCTCATTTCAGTCAACATGATGACTTCTGTTTCCATCCATTTTCCTGAAAAAATATAATTTCTGAATAATACTCTAATGTGTATATCTGCTACATTTCTTTATCCATTCCTCAGTTGATGGACACCACATTCCATATATGGCTATAAACATGGGTGTGCAGGTATCTTTACTATAGGCTGATTTACATGACCAAGAGTGATTAATAGGATCACATATTAATTCTATTTTTAGATTTCTGAGGACTCGACACAGTGAGTTCCATAGTGGCTACAGTAATTTACCTTCTCACCCAAGTGTATAAGAGATTGTTTCTTCCTGAAAGGAAAATGGATATTTTGGAGTATTTTTTTGATGATGGCCATTCTGATGTTGCATAGTTGTTCATGTATTTATTATTTATACTTCTTTTGAAAACTGCTTGTTACATTCATCTGCGTAATTAGGTTATTAGTATTTTTGGTGTTAACTTTTGCACTCCTATGTCTTGAATCTTAAGCTTTAACTGAGGAGCTAGAAGAGGTTTTCTTCCATTCTATGAGTTATCTCTTAATTCTGATCAGTTTCCTTTTCTATCTTGAAGTATTTGAATTTGATATGATCCCATCATCAATTCTTGCCTTTTTTTACCTGAGCAATTGGAGTCCTGTTCAAACAGGCATTGCTTCTAGGTTTTTCTCTGTGTGTCCTCCTAGCTGTTTCAAAGTTTGGGGTCTTATATTTAGGCCTATAATCCATTTTGAATTATTTTTTGTGCAGGATATAAGAGATAGTGACATGATAGGAAATGTACTCATTACCTTACTCATGTAACTATAACCTCTCTGTACAGTATTTTTACAATAAAAAAAAACATAAAAAAGATAATGGCATAGCTTCAGTCTTCTATAAGTGGATATACAGAATTCCCAACACCATTTGTTGAAGATTGTCTTTTCTCCAGTATCTGCCTTTTGCTCCTTTGTTGGAAGTCAGATGGCTATAGCTATGTAGGTTTTGTGAATTTCTACTCTACTCCATTGGTCTATGAATCTCTCTTTATGCCAATACCATGCTATTTGCCACTATGGATCTGAAGTATTTTGATAGCACTAGCATTGCTCATTTTGCTCAATATTGGTCTATCTAGCTGTGGTCTTTTATGCTTCCATATAACTTTTAGGATTGATTTTTCCATTTGTGTGAAAAATGACATTGGAGTTTTTAATGGAACTTACATTGCATTGGTAAATTTCTTTCAGAAGTTTGTGTTTTTCCCAGCATGAATTCTGCCAATTCATGAACATGGGAAGTCTTTCTATCTTCTGGCATCTTCTTCAAGGTTTTATAATTTTCAACATAGAGCTCTTTCACTCTCTTTGTTAGGTTTATGGAAATGGTTCTGCCTGAAACAGAAGTGCATCGTCACACTGTAATCTGGTTTTCAGAGGAAATATTTCCAAGGGGACACTGGATTAGGGACAAGGAAATGCCAGAATACATCCATCTAAGCCCCAAATTATAAAGCCTATAAAATACTTCCAGCTAAAAACATACATACAACTATCAGATGGAGTCCATCCCAGTTCCCATATGCCACAGAGCCACATCACAGCACTTACTGCCTCCCCTCCATGACTATTCCAAGCACCTCCACCCTTTGCTCTGTGCCCTGAGACAAATCACTCTCTGCCTCTGAGTCTCATTTCTCATCTTCCTAAAGAAAAGAAGCATGAACTAAGGGTCCTGTATAATCTGTTATAATCTATTCTCCTACTCCATGGAATTTCATTATCTCCTAGTAACCATATTTGCTCTTCATACTTTAATTCTTGGGGAGTCTGGGGACTCTTGAGTTTTTTAAATACCATGTCCAAATGCCAAGAGGAACTCTTTGGGCACATAGTCCTGGTGACTCATGGACTACGGTTGAAGGCCTACTGTTTGCTGAATGGACCTTCAGAATGGCCTAGAGTCAAGGGGGAATTTTGTCTTTCAGGAGATTCTAGCAACATCTATAGACATTTTGGGCTGCCACAACTTGGGGTGAAGGGTTTCTCAAAAATCAGTAGAAGCCAATAATATTGTTAAACATTAGATGTGTGGGACAGCCACCAACAACCAAGAATTATTAGGTTTAAAAACCACTGTGGATTCACAGCTAGCTCCCAACACCCTAGAGTTGTCACAGTGGTAATATTTATATCACAGAAATTGGCACACTCTGTAAATCTAGCAACTTAATTCTGAGAAGGTAATTGTGAAATGTTAATCAATTCTCATCACTGTGTGGACATACATAAGAATTCTAACACCTGATGTAACCAAACTCCAAAGTGCTTACAGCAAAGGTCATGCTGGAAGAGATGATTTTACTAATGGTTGAAAAGCCTAACCTTATAATATTCTATGGCAAAGATGAAGGAACATGGTTTGAAGGATACCATGGACAGAGATTTGAAGACTCTCATGGCTTTTTTTGTTTGTATTTTTTTAATATAGCCTGCCTCCTCCTAAAAATAATGTAAGGGAGAGAGCAAATGAAGGGGTAACATTGTCCAAAAAGAAATGTAATCTTTACCTGGCTTATATAAACTGTAACCCCTCTGTACATCACTTGTATCATAACAATTTTAAAGTTTTTTTAAGAAACTTAAATGTAAGAGGACAATGAAAAAACAAAAGTCTTGTTTATTAAATAAATAAGTTTATGGAGTAAAGAAGTTGATATATCTAATTTGGGAAC